GAGACCGGTACAAAGGAACTTTGTTAGCCTTGGCCTGTTCTCTTCCTAAAGATGTCTGCCACAAAAGGTGCTGCTGCTGGCATCGTCCTGACAGAGATCACAGACTGGTTTTCCATCTGTGTAGGCTGATGCTTTCCAGGTCAGGATGAAGGCATGAGGATGACACAGTTGTGAGTAGCTATTGTGTAAAGCCTATTTTCTGCATAACTGGAGGACTAATTTATGTCCAGCACTTTGAACTCTAGCAGTGTTTCTGTCTCCAATCTGAGGGTCTCACTGGGATGTAAGAAGGACACAGTCACAGAAAAAATAGCAAATAAGAAGGGAGGAAATGTCACTTGCATCTAAATGACAGTTTCATGTCTGAAGTGCTAAACCACTGTTCCTAGTTGCTGCTAAAGACTCAGAGGAGAAGTTAGCAAATATGTAAATCAGCCAATCCATCTTCATACTTTGACAACCTGGGCTCTTGGGAGACTCTGCTGTGACTCTGTTCTAGCATTGCATTTCACATTAATTTAAAATGCCTAAGAAAAGAACTCTTGAGTCTGCTTTGTAGGTTTTGTAACCTCAATTGTCTCTTACACTGCTCTGCTACAGATAGAGGAGGGAGGTGGGACTGACACAGTTGCTGTCCTGAGCTGGTGATTCTAACTCAAAAGCTCACTCGTATGTATGTGTATATAACATCATGCAGATCGCGGTGTTCTCGGTTACTCTGTAGTTGTTGGTTTGACACCTACCATCATTTTCATTCACAGTGATTTGATGAATTTAGAGGGAGTTTTAAATACATCTCCCTTTCAGAAACTCGATGATGATTTTGCAGTCAAATCAAGCTTTAAAGGTATCAATGAGTGCTGGGCAGAAATTGTGTAATGCATCACTTGTTTGTAATTCACTGGAAGGTTTCAAAATGTCAACATTCATCTTCAGATAGAGGGATTAATACATAGCCTTAGTTACACTGTCTTTCGGGGATGTTGGGTAAGTTTTGGACAGCAGTGTAATAAAACCAGAAAACATCCTTAACATGACCTGATGAGTTACTGAATTGGAGAGCTTGTCCATATTTTTTCCAGATGTATCAATCTAATAAAAACTGTCACTTCTGCTGACAAATTTTGCCTCTCTTATCCTTAAACTGTAATAGCTGTAATGTAAATCTAAGCCATACAAGACATGTAAATACATACAGAGAGAGGTATCATTCTCAGCATGGCCGTTAACTGAGGAGAGGTTTTGGAGTGGTTTTCCTCCCAGAGACTGGGAGATACGGAAGTATGTTGCATAGAAGGCTGCTCTTCTTACCGTTCTTACTGTTATTCTGGTTTTTGGCATCTGCCAAGAGAGAATATTTTAGCAAAAATAATAATTCTTGCGTGGAACACAGTGTGTGAACATAGAGCAAAAGTAAAACCACAGTCTGATGTCGGTAGTTTGAAAGCTAATAGTATACTAACAAAATCAAAAGGAAAAAATATGTGTTGTGGATTTTGCTACATTTCTGAAAGAACTTGTGCTTAATTAATATTAATTCCTAAGCTTATTAACAGATTTACTTTTCAAATTCTCTGAAAATTAATGCTCTTCTCAGGAAGTACAGTAATTGTGCAGAGAACATGTTATTATTCATTGCTTAAAGGAAACCTAGCAACCTTTGCTTTATGTGCAAAGCTGAACTTGTTTTCAGAATAGCTGATATGGTAGTAACAGATGGTAGAAGGAGCAATAGCTCTGATTGCAAAACTGCTTTGAAGCAGTTTTTACTATTTGCTACTCTCGAGGTGCCTGCGTTGTACGGTAAAATGAAGGTTCCCTAAATTAACCTCTGTGATTCTCCCCTTTGTTATTACTGATGCAGATACATTTTGCTCGGGCAATTTCAGCTGTTTTTACTGTCCCGTGCCAGCATGTGTTGTGGCTGAGAGCGAGGGGGCAACTTCTGTTATACAGTTGCACAGCATATTGAGGGGAAGCTTTTTTACTTCAGGATTACACAAAGAAAAGGGGAATGGCTGTTTTCTGACCCCAGTAAAAGATCATATAGAGATTTCAGTGGTTTGATATTTTTTTGTCCTTAATCAGTTGTCCAGTATCTACAGTTATCCCAAGATTTATAAAAGAGATGTCTAGTGCTGTTCATGAAATTTGTTTAGATAACTCTAAAGCTGTGCCATTTAAGTCAGGAGGGTAACAACATTTTCCACATGTTCAGTTTCTGCTATAAAATGTTAATGCAGGAATTGGATCAAGTCCAATAAACTGCCTGAGACTTTTTTAAAGAAAAAGATCCTACTATGGCACTGCACCATGTTCCTTCACTTTGTTATAATTAATGTAATTAATCATGGTCTTTTTCCCCTTCATTAATGGGGAGAAATTAAAACTGTTGCACAGAATGAAATACAGGTTAGAGAGAATGTGAATTGTGGGCTTTATCCTCTTCAGAAGAGGAAGAGCCTTTCATTCATGGCACCAATTTACAGCCACTTTCCCTCACATATAAGCTTAATGAAGCTTTGCCAAATAACTAATTCTCTGAGTTCATGAAACAGTAATTGTTGTCAGGTGGTAGGTGGGGAAAAATAGGATTCTGAATAATCAAGTACAAATGTGGCTAGAAAGAATTGCAGAGCACCAAACAGAATTTTGAGCTGATCTTTATAATATTTTAAAACTTTATTTAAAAAGCTTAAATAATATATTTATAATAATAAATTAGTAATTTAACTAATGTGTCTTCTTTAGAAGCTGTTACATCCTTGAAGGCAAAGGGCAGAGCTGTTAAAGTACTAAAAATAAGGTAGATCTTTTTACACTATGGCTAAGCTAACCAAGAAACTACTACAAAGAACACAAAGGGCAGGAATAAATACATCTTTCTTGGAAGTTACTGCTAGTCTGCGTCATCTCTGTGGGACAAGAATATTTGAACTGTGAATGTGAGTAGTTGTAAGTTTTCCTTGGCATCTCCTCTTGACAGTAACAGGAATGGAGACGAGCACAGTTTGACTGGCTATTCCAGTTATTTTCTTGGTGTGGACTCTTGCTTGTCATGGAAAATTGATGAAATGGAAGAAAATGTTCAGGAGGCGTTGATACAGTTTGGGAGATTACAGAAAAGTTGATCTGGAAAGAAAGAGAAACTGTATTTTCCATTTATTTTCCTCACGCTGTTGTTTGCTCATTGTAATTGCACAGGGTGTCTTTACTGATGTTCCCACAGCAGTTGAAGTGGGCGGTACAAACAGGGTACTGTCACCAGCGCTCTCAGAGCACAACCCAGGGAGGTCTGAACCATGAGTGTGTGTGGAGACACTGCAACTTGTCCATCTGCAGTTGCTTTACTTGCAGTACTTCAGTTGAATCTCATGCTCCTGTGTTTCTAATGGAACCTCTCTTGAACTTAAACAATATTGGCTACATATGGTTAGATGAATATTTCTGTGGGAGTAAGTCACTGTCACATCTACTGTAAAGTCTGTTTCTGTGCCCTTCTCTTATTTTCTGTCTGGGGTGGTTTATTTCTAAGACAAACAGTAACTGTAGGCCTCTGCTTAGAAGATGTTCTTTGTACATGCAGTGTTCAAGCTTTGTTTTTAAGGAGATTTTTTTTTCCACAGAGCATGCAGGTGTGCTTTTCAACCCGGCTAGTTTTTCTTCATAATATAAACATCATTACCTTGGTTCTTGTTCTGACTGTAAAATTGTTTGCAGTAGAGCTATACACTTTGGAGACATACTGTCCTCAAAAGAATAATGCGGGAATCACTACTACAGGTCATGTTTATTCCAATGGCAGAACTGACACCTTCATGGTCAGCTAAGCTGATCAAATTAATAGTTTTGCTCATTTACAGTCCAAGATGTGATTAAACTATAATAGCTGAAGCTAGAGCTATTCTGTGTCACATCCCATCTCCCTGAAGGATTCTTAATGTTACGTTTAGATTGTTTACCTTTCCCAGCTTTGGGTTTATTGGCCGCATGGGGACTGTGGGTGATAAACCCTGTGAAGCTCTTCTTCCAGGACTACACCAAAATTTTAGCTCTCTTCTGGTTTGCAGACCTGGATTTGCTTCCCATGAAGGAAGAGGCAATGGCATATGCTTGGACATGTATCTGTATAAACCCTTCATACTGGAGGGTACGTATTTAAGAAACTGTCTATTTAGGATTTTTTTTTTTGAATGGCTACCTCCTGGCAATGTGATACCTTAGAAAATGTCACTAAAGGTTAAGTTCCCCTCATAACAAACCTTTAGGATTTGTCTAAGCATTGTTGGTCAGTGTTTGAGAATCTAGTTTAGTTCTTTAATCGTGTGAGATTTCTCCTGTATGGCATGGCCCATGGTTTTAAGCATTAAAGAATATCTCCTTCCAGGTAGCTGCTGATTTATTAACACAGCAATGACATATTTGAAGCTGTTTTTTTAAACTGGTATTGAAATACCCCTGGTATTGAGGTAGCATTTCCCCGTTTTTTACCTAAGGGTCTGTTGATGCTTTTTTTGACATCCAGATGTAACAGAACTGTTCTGCACTGCTGGGACAGATGTGTGTAAATATAAACTGTTGAAGACACCATATTTGTCATGTTTGCAGCTTTGTACACTTACTATACTAGAGTATGGCAAACATGAGATGTGCAAGATTTTCCAGTTAGCTCAGAAAATTCCCAAGATAGCAAGTAATGTGATTAAGTTTAAAGTTACTTCCTTCACTTTAGCTCTAAAATTTCAGCTGTTGCTACTCATTAATTTTTTTTTTCTTTTCAATTTTTTCAATCTTTCTGCCATAGCCTTGTTGGCTTGATTTCTTTCATGAGCACTGTTTATTACCTGGTAACAGTCTAACTGGAGGACATACTACTCCCTTAGTCCATATAGGACAAGTTTTTGATACACAATTAGAGGAATATACACAATTTTGTGTAGTACAGCACAGTATCAGCATGGTCTCTCCAACAGCTTGTACTAACGTGCTATGGCACTGAGATGAAATCTTTTAATAAAAAGTACTTGATGTCAAGTACTTCTGTGTACTTGACACAGTCAGTACTCTTGACTGAAGATAAAAATTCATAGCTGTCAGTTTAGCACTTATTTATTTAATTTACACGTAGGGAACAAATGCAAATACATAGCAGTAGAAACTGGCATTTTGAATTCCAAACACACCCTTAGCAGGCTTTCCCCTTTACGGAAAAAAGCCTCTTTCTCATCTGTAATGAGCTTTTTATGCCCTCCCCCCCCCGCTGGCTAATAAAATGCAATGTTCAGTGGTGTAACAGGGATCAGAATCTGCCCCTAGCTTCCAAATGTTTGATTAGTTTGATTACTTAACCTTTGCAAATGTACTGAGCATTGGAATATATTTTGCATATTTCAGCATAATATTGAAAAATTTAATTTCTGTCAAAATTATATAATTGGGACACTTTATTAAACAACAAATATGTTCTGTTTTAATTTTACCTCTGGTAACATCAGAGTTTAACAGGGTATCACATACAACTTTTTCTTCTTGAAATAATTATCCTATTTTAAAACACTGGGAACTTACAAATTTATTTAGATATTACCTTCCTGTAAATTTCCACAGACATAGAGGAATCGTCCATGATACAACTAAGACTGTACAATGATTTTTAGAAAGCAGATTCTGAAGTAGCTCTCTGTAGAAGGGTGATTCGGTGAATGTGTTAGTAATACAGGGCTATTAATGTGTAACAGTTGAGGTGAACGTAAGCCAGGCTTATGGTGAAGGAGCCACTCTGGCTTATTTGCTTACATATATTTTCTTTGTAAATGTGAATTTAGAAGTTTCTTCTGTATTAAGCAGCAAAAATTATGTTTTATTTGCGAAGTGTTAATTTGGTTTGATGGAAGCAGAACCTTTCTGCCAAGATCCATGTTGCAGGCTAAAATGAACACTCAGTGTTGTCTTCCTGCAGGACTGCCACGTGGCTGCTCACCACGACTCACCACAATATTATACCCTTGAAACTGAAACAGTCTAAAAGTAGCTACAGTATTTGGCCACACAAAGGAATGTTTTTATGTAGAATTATAGGGCTTGTAATATTTCAGAAGTCAAGTAGTTTTCCTGTCAGCATAGTCCTTGTCCATCTGTGAAACACCAAATTAGACCGAATAATCATATTTTCCTTACTATTTTATTTCGGACCATATTTAATATACTAGTGTTTCTACTGTAGCTGGGAATTGACTAGGAAGCTGCAAGGGTATTTATTTTATCTCCTAGTGGTTGTCACAAATATTTGCCTCTATTATGATTAACTCAAAATGACTCTGCTTGGCGGTTTACATCAATGCTGCCACTCAAAAAAAAAACGGCCCCTAAAGTCAAAAAAGTTGGAGGAAATGTGAAATCTGGGAGAAAAGCTGCTTTGGATGTATTTCCATGCTTGGCACTTTCCACGGAAATTCTAATTATGTTAATGTCTTCAGCTCGTGCTTTTGAGCCTTTGTTTTTTAATTAGCAGAGTGCTTATGAAAGCCCCTTCCTCTTCCCCTCGGGGGGCGGGGGGGTGTAAAGCTGCGCTGTTCCGAGCAGGCGCAGAGCCCTGGGGCACCGTCCCCACCCCGCGGGGCGTTTGGTGCGCTCCCCCACCCCTGCACAGCGGCAGGCAGTCTTTCTTCGAGGCTCTTTCCTGTCGTTCTTTGAGAGCCACAGATCCCAGTTCTGGTTTAGTATAGATCTGGGCGCACGGGGACACACCGTACGATACGTATTTATTTATGACTAATGCAAATGACTGTGATCCTGTGCATAAATTGGTTGATGGGTCGAGGCACTGTCAGGCACTCCATTAAGGCTGCACAGGAAATTCTAAAGCCAGTTTGAGTTGACTTCTTTTTCTCAACTGACTATAATTTATGTTTGGATGTTCAGCTTTTAGACTTAAATCTTTTCTACTTTCTGGATAGAGACACTGAAAATTATTCCATCAGGTTTAGTCAATAAGGGGATTATAAGCAGCACATTCTGCTATAAGGCAAAAACCTTTACATGCAGTATTTTTTCTACAGAGTGGTTACAGTAGATGTCATTGAAAGATGTACAAAATGCACACGTTCTCTCTGTAGCAGGAGACTGCAAATTCACAAACTCATAAAAGACTTTACAAGATATACTTTTCAGCGTTGAAGAGAAAATCTGATTTTGAGTTAAGAAGTTTGGAAAATACAATTCACCTGCCTGCCCTAGATAGTGGAGGATATAAACTAATGGTTTCCCACTTTTCCATTGGAATGGCATATGTTGCATAAAAAATTGGAGAGAACACTCTTTTTAGTTCACCTGTGACATTGTGATATATTGAGACCAAGGCAGCCTGAGAGAGGAAGAAAGAAGGCTGCATAGTAAAACTTCTGCAGTAGTCAGTCACTAACAGTCACCAGCAGACTCTGCTCCAGTCTGGGGAGCTCAGGAGAATCCTCTGGCTTAGGGACAGATCCACCAGTGACTGCCTGCACTTTCCTTGTCTTCCTCTGCCTTCACCCTCCCTGAAACAGGATAACTGTATGGGAACAGCAGTAAGAACACCATCAATATCCACCTGAAAAACTGTCCAAAAGAGGACTGAGCAGACTGAGGACAGAATAATGCAAGTGGTTTGTTACATACCCTTCTAGCTGGAACAAAAACTTCAAAGTTAACAAGCCACTGTTGAGTACAAATGACTTCTGAAATGACTTACTGCAAAGCTGACTCTCCAGTTACAAAATGAATCAGATGGTTCTTGGATAGCTGAAAAACAAGAAAACCAGCCAAGCTGACAGAATTGTGCCTGTATGAAATGGAGCTCTGCTTGTTATTTAGAGGTGTCAGATGCAATCTGAGCCTAGCCTTGTGAAGGACAGTCAGCTGTGGTTTTGCTTCCTGAGCTGTGGGTACAACTTAACTATGTGGGCATTTTCTTTAGTAGTCTATGCAGTGTTGCCACATTGTCAACAGGAAAAAACATATGCTCAAACTAGTTTCTTGCCTCAATCCAAATCTTGATTCTCATTGGGAATTTCGATTTGCAGCTGTGTAACTGAACTGCAAAACCTTCAATAGACTTGAAAACCTAAACCAGAACTTGATTCTAATTTGCCCATGTGTCTACCAGCAAATACATTTAAAGATTGTCTGTAAGAGCAGGGGGTGCACGTTGTGTTTTCATCTGGTTGACGGGGGCTGCTGCTGTAAGCTGAAGAATGCAAACACTTTGCCGAGACACAGCAAAAATCCCAAACACCTATGTAGAAGAATGTCAGAAATCATCAAAATCCAACACTTGCTGTGGAATGGAGAAAACATGATCAAAACCAGTATTTATTTTACGTTTCACCCAGTTTCCCAGACTACCTTGGCACTTTTTCCTTCTGCATTCTAGTCTTACACAGACACCAAGAATTAGACTGCTGCTGCTACCAGTATTCTGTGGCTCTTCAGTGGTGGGCCTGAACCCTGCAAATGAACAGGAGCTGAGATGCAAAGGAGTGGCAATGCAGCTGGCACATAGAATCAACAGGATTGCAAAGAGCAGGAGAAAGTCAAATTTTTGTGCGTTGCCAACAAAAATCGCCAACATTGGAGTAGTGGTGATCCAGTGGAAGTCAGTGTGTGAGCAGCAAGTGGGACCCCAGTAAGCCCCAGTGTGTGTGTCTGCTGGTTTTGTGTGTGTGAGTATTCAAAAGGCAGCTAGATGGAAGGAGTGGTGAAAAAGGCCCATGCCCAGTACAAAGGCTGCACAGCCAGCGTTGGAAGCAGAGTTGTATGAGCTCTTCCATTAATCACCTTTTTATTTCTTCCTTCCCTTCCAGGTGCAAGTGGGAAGTACACCTCAGGACCAAAGAATTGTGGGATACATTTCCTGCACTCACTTGCAAGCTATTGCAGGTACTGTCCTAATGTGCTTATCTTAGTTTTTCACTATTTCCAGGCCTGTGGTGGTATTCTTGTGCAAAAGTAGTGAGTGTTGCTCCTCCAGTATTTCTGTCAAAGTACAGTGTGCATTGCAAATAGCAGTGAAATAGTGAAGGAAGGAGGGTAAACACGTCTATCCCCCAAACTTCACATTTTCAGTCTTGAGTAACTAAGTATTATAGGGCACAAACAAGAATATCCCTTGAGAACTTTTCTTGTCTTTGCTCCCTCTTAACCAAATGCTGTTATTTTAACAATTACATTACTGTCATCATTACTCAACAGCATTTAGCAACCCACACGGTGAGTATCAGCATATAAACTCAAATTTCTTTGTACATAACGAGGGGTTTTTATCAGAAGATACAAGTTGGGACAGTTTTTCCATCAGAAATCAGCAGCTGGAATAAGCCCATATTCTCTGGGTGTTGACCTGCAAATTTCATACAATCAATGGCTAGCAAGTTAATACACTCATCGAAAAACTCTCTTGGTCACGGTTAAAAGCAGTTCCACTATTACATTTACACAGCACGCTCTATGTCCTCCTTTTATAAAACAGTTTTTTCTAAGGTTGTTAAATAAAATGCAAAAACTCTCAGCAGGGTGTAGAAGGATTTTTTTTGAAATTGCACTGAATTATCTTAAAAAAGAATGAGGTGTTATTTAATAGCAGATTTCTGTGTCTGTGAGATATATGGACTCCACTGCTTTCCACAACCAGACTGAATTTCACGTAGTTCTGTCAGCCTGTGGTAGAGCCTGTTCCTCCTCGACCATCTTATGACCTTTCATTATGCCAGTAGCTCAACACTCAGCTCTCCTTTTAATATTCAGAACAAGACTAAGGTAGATGGGTGGCCTTACCTCCATTTTACAACCCAAATCCAGAAAGCAAGGGGAAGAAAAGTTAGTAACTTTGGGTTGGTTTATTCCATTTTTAGTGTTCTGATACATACATTTGGAAATCAAGACGCTTCTCCCTTTTAGCGGTTTGCCTGTACACTCATCAATTAAAACTGACAGATACTTTAAATTCTTGAAGGTATCTATGGAAAATTTTACATGTATCTCTCCTATCTTTTGCATCCAAACTATCAATTCTATACTTGGACTAGGTTAGTAATTTAATAAAAGCCACATCTACAAACCTTTACTTTGTGTAAAAGCAGAAATGATTTAGCCAGAGGGGTGGATATCCTTAGTTTTACTTGATTTAAGCTCCTGCCAGCTGTGGAGCACAACATAGCCCTCCTAAGCTGCTTGAAGACAGCATGTGTGCTGCAGACGGAGGCAAGACAGTAAGGTATTATAAATGTAGAACTTTGAACCCGTGTGCTGCAGCGTGTCTGGGTTAGCCCAGTCAGGCAGCTGGCATTCATTCTAACTTTGTCAGTGCTTCAGTTGCAGAGACTGACTGGGGACAAAACTGCCGTCCCTGAAGTACATTAGAGATGCTGGATAGTTCTAAAGAAGATTCATTAATTTTTCAGCTACATTTTAACGTCCTTCTCTGATTTTCTATTTTTAACTCTGGAATTATGGTAATGTACTGTGAGACTCCTGTTGTGGAGCTAAGATTTGTTGCTGTTCTAGTTAAGGTTATAAACCTCCATTTTTAGTCCTGTTCCTCTTTACTACTTAGTGATGTATTCTCAGTTAGTCTTTGATAACCGCATTGTGAAGTCCCTAAAACACTGAGGAGCAAGAGTGGGGAGGGAAGAAAACCAGGGAAGTAATGTTCTGTTTTCAAAGTCAGTCTAAACCTTCTTCAAGGGTAAAATGCAACCTTTCATTTTCCTACTTATGTTCTTGCTTCGTATTTTTAGGCTTATCTGGTTCAAACTACATTCACGTAAAGCAAACAATGATTTAAGACTCTAACTGTCCTTTGATATATCATATTAGTTTATGTAACGAAATGGAAAACTAAAGTTCATAAGTTTGGCAGAGCTGTGCTTTCTGATTTGTATCATCTGATTCATAACATTTCACACATTAAAAAAATTATACAAAAAACAGTTCAACGATATAAAGATGTGGTATCTATAAAAACAAGCACTGTTTAAAAGGTTAGCCATTTAAATCATCTTGTCATACATGGCTGAGTGCAATTTGGCTTCCTTTTGAGGATACATAAACTTACACTTGACACGTCTGATACTTATGTGAGTGTAAAATGAAGGGATCCAACTGCTTATAGTCACGGACAAACTACTGGTGCTTTTTTTGAGAGATGTGCTGGCTCAACACTATTCTGAACAATTACTATTTTTTCAGACCTGACATTCACCTTTTCCAATCAAAGTTTAGAATTAGCTGTAGCTTATCCTCTCAATTCTCTATTACTGAATGGTGCTATGAAGCAGCTCTTCATTTCCTCTGTGGAAATAGCTGCATTTCAGTGACAAATGAAGGGATCCTTAATGAGACTTGAATGTAATTATTTTCCATCGGGCTGTTAAGTTTACATGGTTCTTTTATGTTCTTCAATTAGTCAGTGATTAATATTCTGGACAGGTTTTGCTGCCTAGAATCCTCCCACCTCCCAAGTCCCTTTGAGTTGTGCCTTTCAGACAACCCCACCAAGCCATCAAAACAGAGTAAGCCTCAAGCTAGTCCAGCCCAGGTCCAGGTGAGATAGCGTGTTGGATGCGGTCTCATAACCTCGTTCATGTCCCCGTTCGGGTTTAGTACAAATCTACTCGGCAGCAGTGGGGGTACTGGCAACTCCCACTTCTCTAGCACCAGCTTCAGGTTCCACAAGTCTACACAGAGCTTAAGCAGAACTCATGTCAGGGCTGAGGGAGATCCATCAGCATCTCAAATTCTGGCTGCAATTAGCAGCAACTTCAGCACTAAGCATCCTCAGGCAGTGATTTCAGATGTGTCTGTAAAATAGCAAAGCTGGTGTACCCACACCGTGGCAGCCTGCCCTTGCCCTCGCTCAGTTGTGCTAACACCGCTGTTGTAGGCTGTGTTGCACTGGACTGGGGACCCAACCTAGAAGAAAAGTAACCCAGCAGAATAAAAGGGGTTTTTTTTGTTTTGTTCTTGGAAGTGGTTTGGTTTGGTTTGGTTTTCCCAGCCTATCCTGCATTATGTTACAAGCATAGGGATCTGCTTAATCTGTCACACAGCCAGGTGTGACACAGCCTGTGTCATAGCTGAACTGAAACCTTTGGTTGTGACTTGGAAACAATTTTCCATTTTGACTAGACTTTACAAGCTTTTTTTGCTCATCTTCCTCAGGTTCCCTGCCAATATATCCCATAGCAATTATCAGTGCTGAGAACTCTGGTTTTAAAAACCTCCACTGGATCTTTTCATTTCCTCTGACTAGGCCTGTTGGCTGCTCTGTTCAACCACCATAGTGCTCCTTCGAACGTCTTTCAGAGTGGGACAAAACAGTCTTCCTCGGTGGATAGTACCTACCTCCAGTTCTAACTTACGCCAGGATTTCACTTAGGCATTTCCAGTGTGAATGGAAAGGGCAAGTATGATTATCCTATAATGAACAAAGGTGAAGTATTTATTTTTGCTGGTGGAGGTTTCCCACACAACCCTTTCATCCGTCCACAAAATTTGAAGCTGAAGGGAATTTGC